GCGTGGCGCAGGAACCGTCGCTGAACACGCTCAATTTGCCTTGCATTATCCGCTGTATGTGGGTTCCAAAGTACGGTCCCATATTCTAAAATGGGACGCACAAGAGCGCAGAAAAGTGTTTTTAATGATGATACAAGCCGAAAGTCCTTTATTAATCGGATGACAAGACCAAGAGTTTTTAAAGCTTTACAACATACGTATTCGATGTGTGCAGTTGGGTCCAGATTGCAGCTTAGCCTGAAGCCAAGATCCATGACATAGTCCATAGTACGAGAAACAGCTRCATTGTTKATGAAGTATGGGGACATTATCGGAGAACGGGATCTAGKGAAGGTCATTATTTTGCATTTATCAAGATTAAGTGATAAACCTAAAGTGTTGAACCAATTTGAGAACCGATCTAGGTCGGACTGAAGATTTGTGCAATCATCTGGCATGGTTACGCGCATATACATTTTGATGTCATCAGCAAAACATAGAAAGTGACAGTGATGTAGCACACGATGGAGGTTGTTAATAAATAACGAAAACAATATTGGCGACAGATGACTCCCTTGCGGGACACCAGACGAAGCTAAGAACAAATTAGACTTAACATCAAATACTTTAACACATTGATACCTGTTAATAATAAAGGAACTAAACCAAGACAGAAGGGGTTCGTCAAAACCTAATTCTTTGAGAATATGTATAAGAACATTATGATTAACTGAATCGAATACTTTTTGAAAATCAATGTAGAATACATCTACCTGAGTTTGGTGTTGAAAGGAGTCGAAGACATAATTATTGAATACAAAATTGCGTGTCTTGGGCGAAAGCCATGCTGTTCTTCGGCTAGGATCGAATTAACTGTCGGTTGAATTGAATTTAAGACTAGGTGTTCAAAAATTTTTGAGATGTGCGATCGGATGGAAATAGGTCGATAATTAGATACAGTGGAGGGGCTACCAGATTTGGGAATAGGAATTACAGAACTGAGTTTGAATATGGAAGGAAAAGTGCCTTCATCTAGTGACCTCCTAAATAGAAGCCATAGTGGATAAGCAATAATTATTCTTAGTTCAAATAAAAAATGACCTGAGAGGCCATCCGGGCCAATAGACCATACATTTTCTAACGAGGATAGGCCATGGAATACATCTTCAGCGCTAAACAAAGCATTATTGGGCAGATCAAAGGCGGGAACATCAATTTTTTTGGCATCAAAATCAACTCGTTTAGTAGAGTAGACTGAGGAAAAGTAGGCAGAGAAGAGATTGGCAGTCTCTTGTTCATTACTAGAAGTGAATTCGTTGTATGACATTTCCTTGGGAATATAATTTTTTGAGCGGTTGTTTCTAACAAATTTCCAAAAATCATTAGGCTTTGTCCTAAGGGCTGTTTCAGTACGGTGTATAAAATCGCGGTAAAATCTTTTTGTTTCATATTTAAGTTTGGCACGCAGTAAAGAGAATTCTCTATGATCATTAACACTTAGAGAGGATTTATATTTAATATGAGCCATTTTTTTTTCAAAGACAATATGCTTTTAAGATTTTTGGTATACCAGGGTGGGAATGTTGATTCAGTAAAAGAGACTAGGGGGATGTGATCCAAGATTGATTTATGTAATGCATCGTATAGCACATTAACCGCTGAATTCCGGTCGTATTGAGAAAAGGTTGAAGACCAATTAAATGAAGACATAAAGGAACGGATATTCTCATAATCGCCTTTACGAAAATTGTAGAATTTGTGATTCTGCTTACAACTTGGTACTGGGAGACTAAATGGAAGTAAAATATTTAAAGCTGGGTGGTATTTATCAATAGGAACTAGCGGGTCAAGCGACTTTTCAACGGTTAGAGCTTTATCATTGCAAAAAACTAGGTCTAGAATCGAATTGGTTGAATTATAAATATTATTTTTTTGAAAGAATCCATTAGTTGTAAATGATTCGGGAATACAAGGGGCACGAGCAGGAGAGGAATAAGAGTAAACAATACCATAATCATCATTATCCCATACTGTTTCAGGAATATTATAATCCCCACAAATAATAAATTTGTCATTAGGATAAGTATTGAGCAAATATTCAATGGAAGAAACGTGTGATTCATAAATTAAAGGAGATGAGTGAGGGGGAATATAGACACCACCAACGATGAAACCGTAAGAACCAATAGTAAAACGGACAAAAACATGTTCAACATTTAATTGAGTAACTTTAACGATGCGTGCAGGGTAATCTTTAAGAATGCCAATGAAAACACCACCACCACGACTACAATTGCTATTAGAAATACATCTGTCATGCCTAAAAATATTATAATTAACAAGACCAAGTTCAGAATTAGAAATATTGTTATGTAACCAAGTTTCTGTTAGTACAATGAATATATAATTTACAGAAGATGCATTACATTTAAAATTGGTTAACTTAGTATTAAGACCCCTACAATTTTGGTAGAAGCCGAATAATGAGGTGGAAGCTACTAGTTGATTTTGGTGTTGGTTATTGGATCGGTTAGTCTCCGATGGTGAACTCTGTTTTTTGACCCATCAGAGATCACTTTCGGAGAACCGTTTATGTACTTGATGGAAAGCCCAGATTCGCCATTTCTAGTCCTATGGTCAATTTCCGAGTGGCATGATCTCAATAGTTCACGCTGGAGTTTGGTCTTGTCGAAATCCCTGCGTAATGGATACCCCACTAGTAATAACATAACAGTTATTTTAACACCATCTAAAGCTGGAGCTATACCATTAGCAATAATAATTCATAATGGAGAATCTGAAGAAAGTTACACAAATGCATTTAATTTATTACAAAATAATTTTCCTTTTTGTTTTGGAGGCAACAGTGTAAGTAATTTTTTTATGCTGTTTTACATTCAGACGCTACGATATGAATACCACAGTTTAAAAAGTAAAATCTAAGTTTTCTTTAGTATTAGGTTTAATATTAACATAAAATATACTAAGGCTGTGTAAATTCAACTATTCTTCAATTATTATTAAATATAGATTATAATGAATGATTATAGTAATATTATATTTTTTATTTTTTATTTAAAACTATTTAGGGAAATTGTATTATAGTAATATTCGATAAATACATGCAATACTTAATAATTATTATTTGTTAAATTTTTTTGTTTTTTATTTACCCATGTAGTCACCTATGGTTTTTATGAGTGATGATTCTAGAGCAGAAAAAAACTCTTTGCATTCTGTATGGCCTTCTGCTAAGCAATTTCTCTGCCATTTTCACATGGCACAAGCTGAATGGCGGTGGTTACACGATAGTAAAAACGGAATCAAGCTAGATGATCGCTGTCCACTAATGAGACTGTTCCAAAAAGTAAAATCCATAATTATGTTTTATGTTATATAATTAAAATTAGACTATAATATTAAGTGATGTTCCCATATAATTTATTGAGGGTATACTCAACACAATTCAACAATAAATAATAAAAAAAATCTTGAGAGTATATGGTGTATATGGAGTATACCTTATTAGAAAACCACTGATAATATTTCTAATATACATAGGGTTTGAATTAAATAACTAGGGAAAATTGTTATTTTTATTATATGTAATGTACACAGACAACATGCATGATTTAGAAAACTCGATAATTGAAATCCGTAATATGTCTTCCAAATTCAACAATTTTGTGCAGTGTTTTGAAAAAAATTACGACAGAAAAGAACAGTGGATTAAATTTTATAGATTACATATTCTTTACAGAAATCATGAAACCAACAACTACGCGGAGGCTTCTATCAGGGTTATAAAAGATATACTTCTTAGTAGGACTAAAGCATATAATGCAGTAGCTTTAGTAGATTTTATTGTTAATGTTGGCGAAAATTATTTTACTCTACGTTTGCTTGATCATGCACATGAAAGGCATTCTAAATCCCATAGATTTTATAGCAAACTATGCTCTAAAATAAGACATATTGTAAAGAATGATGTTAAACAAATAAATAATTGCACATATTCTATACCTAGCGAATCAAATCCTAAAGTTGTATACATAATAAATACTGAAATGGGTATCTGCTCGTGAAAAATTGGATGTGCTGGAGCTTTTTGTAAGCATCAAGCTTGGATTCATGAAAATTTAAAAGTACAGTTACCTAACCTACCACCTATTACACTCGTCGAACGCTATGCGCTTGGTATATTAGCATTGGGTGATAAGTGTCCAGAAGCAGCGTTTTTTCTTAGTCTAAAAGAATCTCTTCCAGATAAATCAGCTAACAATGAAATTACAGAAATTACACATGTGGGAAATGATATAGAGCAAAACTCAAATAATGATGTAGTTGAGCCTACAAATAGTGCTAAAACAATTTATTTTAATGTATCAAACAATACAGAGTTAATTGCAGAGACTGATGCTGAATGGTTAAGATTACAAAAAATGATACCATCATTGCCACCCATTATTCTTCAAAAACTGGCAAAAAATTTAAAAAATATAAAAACCAACCAACAATTTACAAATTTTATTCACTCTGTTAACACATCTGCAAGAACTATAAATAGAAGAGGTAAAATAAGAGTCCAACCTACTTCTATCAGCAGAAGAAAGGGTAATGTTACTCGGGGTTCAAAAAGAATTCCAGCAGGAAGGAGACCTGAACACTATGTGGTTAAAGGAAATATTAGAAGATCTCACAATTTAGATCAAAACATTTTAAAAAGTAAACCAAATGCTAAAAAACATGGAAGAGGCCATTAAAATATTTAAGTTAAGTATCTAGTTCATATTTATGTAAATCTTTTAATTTTTAGTTAGGTACTCATCCAAAAAAAACCCTTGTATAAAATATTGAAATAATAATATAAAATAAAATAATGAATCTTTTAAAATAAGGGAAATTAGTTTTTTTATCAATAAATATGTACTGAGTGAATAATTGTATTTCAATAGTTAACCTTTTTTTTATTCAGTTTCATAAAATATACTATGAATGAAAATTGAAACTCAAGCAAAGATAAAGTTAACAATGGCATTAAAAATAAAATATCCTGTAAACATACATTAAACTATATATAGATACCTACCTATATATTATCATTTTTAATTGAAGAATTTAAATATTATATGATTATACAATATACATATATTAGGTATAGCTTGATAAAAGTACAACCAACTCACACTATTGTATTCTTATATACACAAAAAAAAAAAAAACATTGTATATAAAATATATTGGTACAGGTAAATGGTAAAATTGAATGTAAAATAATCTGATGAATAAACTGTTAGCCTATTAATTACATAAATAATAAAAAGTTATACTTAAATTTAATCCATTAATAATACTGATAATATTAACTATTGAAAGTATTTTTAAGAATGATATAAATGCCACTATATTGGTCATTAATAAATAATAATTTATAGGTATTGATCTTGTGATGATTAAAATCAATAAATACAATTTTGCAAAATGTATAGGTAATAAGGTAATACACTTTTGACTGTAAGAGAGCATAGAAAAAATTATAAATTATGATCATAATGTATGTTTATGTACACTGTACTAGTTATATATTATAAATTACTACTTATTTTATATTTGTTATCTAAATTAAATAATTAGGTAATTGTTGTTAATTTAATTATGATAGTTATAACTTATAATGAAAAACGATAATAATGATAATAATAATTGATATAAATATATAATATGCGCGGGTTAATATGTTGGCGGGTAATTCAAATGAACCAATGAAATGCGTGTATTTACGTACGGCGCTGGGGCTATAGAGGGTTTGTTAATACGCGTCCTTCACGGCTCGTACGCGCTCGGCGGCAACACGACTGTTCGATGAATTGCGTTCGAAGTCCCCGGTCGGGCACACTCGTGCAATCACGGTTTCAGGCAGCACCCGATGACGGTTCGTGCACGTGCGTCTTCGAAATTATGACGGTGACAGTTGCGACAATATCAGTAAAAATTCTACGTATTATGTCGCCTCCAAATACGCTGACCACGCGTATTTGTTTGTTCGTATTGTAGACGTATATATGTAGTTATATATACACGTAATATAATACACAATTATATAAATTTTATATTATATTCTGTGTGTTTTATTGTTTTGAAATATTATTGAAATGTAATATTTTGTGTAATATTACCGTAGTTTTTTATGTCCTTGGTAATGATTTTCTTTTGGAATGTTCTGGTTCGATTGTTCGTTTTTCTTTCAATATACCTTTGAAAGTCTCTGCCCGTTTGATGTCTGTAATAGCGAGATACTGGTGTTTGGCGTATTTCACTGCTGCCACCAAAAATGTTATGGACGATCCTGAGATGTCCTCACAAATAAATTCACAAACACTTTAGGACTGATTAACTTTCTGTATTTGTTATTAAGAATAAACGTACAACTATATTAATGAAAAATACAGTGGCGCCAAAGTCCAAAATTTTATCTATGACATCAGATACCTCCACATGAAATTTTGACACCCACCTATTTCTTATAATTACCTTACCCCTTACCTTATAGTTTTTATGAAATATTATCAACTTTTAGTTTACAATTGACATTAATGTCTAATCACTCTAATACATGCAATTATCCATATCGTAATATATTTAGAATGACAAACGTAACCCTCCTATACCTACTAAAATCACCTATGACAACTGTCATAGGTTAATATATATTTTGGCGCCACTGGAAAAATAAGGCTCTGAATGTTCTGTACAAACGTAATGCTCTGTCTCCAATCCTGGACTGCCACACTCGCCTTCTATGCGCGAGGCGTCCAGGCCGATCGGGTTTCGATGGCTTCATCAGCACATTCCTTGAGCCCAATGACGGCTCACACATATACATTTAATAATATTAACATATACATATTATACTAATATTAAGGTATACAAATACTAGATAAAACATTGGTTCTTAACATTACTAATAAGTTATTACTAATAACAATTTTCAACAGTGTCACTTATACCCTAAAAAAGACGCTTGGCCCGTTCAATTGTATCAATAAATGTCACTTACGTATACCGAAAAATATAGAAAAATCAAAATCAATTATCTCATTACTAAATTGCGCTGGTGCGATATGCGAGTAGATATAAGTAAGAATATGTTATAACTAAGAACTCTATTTCAAATTAAGTTCTAATGATTTTTCTACCTAATTACTATGTTTCAAAATTTATATTCTACCGAAAAACTTGAAAATTCATTGCAAACATTTCAAATAAATCACTTGATTTACCACTTTAATCATAAAATTTGATGAATAGGTATTTTATAATTATAAAATATGTTATACACTTATTAATTATTATCGGGTAATATCTGTCTATTCTAGAGCTAGGTAAGTTGATTTAATTTTACACGATTTATAATTTGGATCTAAAATATGTTTAAAGTTTAATCTTATGTTTATATTATATCTGTTTGCGCCAAACAAGGTGATTTCGTAATTTTGTGTTAATGTGGCAACTTTTCGTTGCACCGTTGCACCACCGGTCGGCGTGAAGCCTGGTTGTTTTCGACCAGCCAGCAGTGTGGCCTTCGTTGTCACCACGGCTTTAGATAAATTGGTTGCACAACGAGTAATTAATTTGTGATCACCAATTGTTCTTATCAGAAATCTGTTAAAAGTTACGTTATAGCGCTAAAATATTATATTTTTATTTTGTATTTTCGTGTTCACAAAAGTACAGTATTACTACAATTATTTACAAATTGTATGGATAATCTGTTAATCCATTAAACAACAAATTCATCAAATTATGAAATGAAGATTACAATGAAAAGGATATCACTTTGTCAGCAATGTTAAATATTAATATAAATTCTGTGAAACTATTAAAATTAAGAGTGAACTAACAAAAAACAGCAACAAAACATGAAGACCCATCAATGGATGGTCACAATTCACAAATGCCCAGTCTGAATCTTTTTATTTTATAAATTTTTTAAATCCACATCATTTGTGCTAAACTAATAAGTTTTGCAGTTTTTACCAATTGCACTTACTGTACGGGCCGGGAACAGTGATTAGCGCCTTGCACAAAATAAAAACATATAAAAAATAAATGTGGCGATTCGCGCCGACACAAAAAATATAATAATTTTACGGCGATTTGCGCTTGTAGCATAAGAA